AATTATATTATTGTAGGCTGAAAACCCTATGTACTCACTAGGTTTCCAAACCTGACCCACTCAGTTTATTTATATTACAGGTATTGAGATGATGTCACATTACACTGAGAGATTAAAGAGATGTAGATCACTAGTGTAAATAAATGTAAGTTCTGTTTATGGTTATGTTTCTGTATTGACGATGACATCCCGAATGTTTTAAAACGAATTAAAAATACATTTTCTTCGGAAATGCTTTGATAACGTATTTATCATGTTTTACTGGGAATAAATTCCCAACATTTTTATTAAAAAGGGTACTCTGATTTTTATAAAGCATAAACAAAATCGGTCTTTTCTAGCCGTAAAAATGTGGATGTCACACAATGGCTTACTCCCATGGGAATACGACACCCATCCTTTCCAACTTATCAATGTACGACTTCATTTTCAGAACGTGCACACATAAAAAATTTCCATCTTCATGTTTACATGCCAATAGGGCTTGAGTAGTTTCTTATTTTTCAACTCGTGATGTCAGAACGTGCAGACACACAACATCCTCTCATGATTTTTGCGTCGATGATTATTTTATTCTAATGATTTTGATAAACTATTTTACTCTGATGATTTGATACATTTGTATTATGATTGGTTTTGAGATACATGAAATATGGATTTGTTGATTTTAAAAATGAAAACTTTTATCAGTATCTTTGGGACATTACATGCCTCCGATCGTAAGACATCACTTATAGCAGGTAAAATTCCAAATCTTCAAAAAAATTATATCTTTCACATATGAGCTCTGCTCTCGACGTTCATTGTGTCATCGACTTCATATTGACAAGTACTACAATTTTTCTTTATATCTTGACGGGTAATTCACAATCTATTTTAAACTTACAGTCTATAAATATTACAATGTAAAAGATATCACGAAAATCATAACTCCTTCACACGAACTAAATTCTCAATGTCCGTTATATTAACAATATAACAGATTCATATTTTCCGAGTATATCATCTATCTTTTATATTGTTTTGGCTAAAAGCAACTAATCTTCAATTAACTTTTTTTGACACACATTGTTGTGTCGGGTTAAACGTGAAATTTCGAAAAATCATAATTTTTTCATAAGAAATCAGATTTTAATGTTCTTTATATTCACATGCTCGTGATCCTGCCCACTAAAACTTTTTTCAAGACCATTTATTGTAAATAATATTTTATATTTAAACATTTATTTAATGTAATTCATTACATTTATAATAAGATCTTATACAAATATTGTAAACTCATAATATTTGTCGATAAAATATATACAAAATATATAAATATCATTTATATAATCAAGATTACGTACGATACAGATGATTTTTATTTATTTATCTTTATCCTATTCGAAGATTTATTCGTTTGATAAAAGGAATGTTTATAACTTATAGTCTTTAAAACGTCTATCACACATGATTATTCTGGTTTGCCCGCTACGTCTATGTAATTTTCAAGTAAAATGTGAATGAAATTTGAGATTATATCTTTAAAACATCTGTCCCGAATTTATGATTATTCTTTTTTTCTTTTACTCGTCTTATCTCTCATTTGACTTTATTTAACAATTTTTTTGATTAAATAATTATAAAATAAAAATAAAAATGATAATGTAGATAGGGGAAGAATTATATAATGATATGTTGTCAACATATTAAAACTTTTAATGCACTGAGTGAGTATGCGAGAATGCGTAATGCATATTGAAGTGGGTCATCTCTAAAACGAAAGGACATATATGATCACTTGGGATTTGGGACAAACCATACACTCAAGTCCCAACTACCAAGGAGATATTTTGGTACGTCACTTGTTTTAAGCTTTCAATATAATTAGATTTTCATTCGATACATAAATAAAATATAAATTTATATAGATATTACAGAATAATTATAAAAAAAATAGGATTATTGGTATTATTGAAATGTGTAGAAATTACATTAAAATAGATAAATATATATATATATATATATAGTGTTAAAAGATCTCTTTATAGATATTTTTTTTTTGTTTTATTAGTTCAATGATCATTTTCATTTAATTTCCTAATATACTGGATTGATTTCTTGTTTGATCAAGGTGATATAAGCAAATTGATCTAAGGATGTAAAACCTATAAAGAAAACACAATCAACGATCCAGATTGTTTTAGATGATGTTATAAGATTTCTCTTTTAATAATATTTAAAAATAATAAAAAGAAAAAAGAAATTAGGTCTTGGTTTATCAAAGTTCCCAACCGCAATCGTCGTTAATTTGTTTTTATGAATATAGTCATTACAATTTTTAAAACTTGTATGTTCGACCAACATGAAATGACCATTTTATAATTGTTAATATATTTTATATTTTTCTTAATTAAATTTAACCTTATAAAAAAATAAAATAAAAACATCTTACCCCACCCTACGGATAATCCCACCCTTCCTCCTCTCTCACTCATTTGTTTAAAATATATTTCTAGCCCAAGACAATACCAATTTATATATGCACTCGATCTAAACCATCTAACTTACTCATTGTCGATTTCTTGGTGTGCTATCAATAATGAAATAAAAAAGGAAATGAATAAAGACAACCGCCCTCCACCCTACCAATATATTTCATCAACTACCAACAAAATTGGAAGAAACATTTAAACAAACAAGTGATGGGTGTAAGCAAAATTATCAAGCAACTGGAACAAATACCAACGTACAAGAATCCAAGAGTAATGGTTGAGCAAATATATAGACCAATATTCATTGACTCTGACATGACAATAATTTGTTTTCTAATTTAACAACTCCCTAAACACTTCTAGTTTTGGTGTTATCGAATTTCAACAAGCTCGGAGCCATAATAGTAAACATATTGCATTTTGCCCTAGTAACTTACCATTGAATGTCAAAGGAGTTAGATAAAACTCGCAACAACAACTTTTCAAGAAGCCAACCAAGATTTATCATGGAGCTCCCATGACAGCGATTCCACCCAACAAGCATATTAGGAATAGAATCGTATATCTTTCCAATTTGGCAATCAACGGTAATCTTGTTTTAAATGGTATGACAAGGGGAATGGTCGAAGATACGTCTTTGATGTTATCTTCTCATGAATTTAGTGGATTTATGAGGGGAATAAAACACGTATATCCTTTTCGGTGTATTAGAAGTTGAGATTTTTAGCGTTAAAAATTATGGAGGTGAAGGTCACAGATGAGCTGTTGGTTTCCGTTTAAGATCAATAGTGTCTATTGGGATCTCGAAGGAAACGACAAAGTTGATGTAAGCTTATGTGGTCTGACGATAAAAAGAGAAAGATGAATGTGAAGTTGGATTGTCGATGAAGTCTGAAGGGAAACGGTTATTGGCGGTCTAGACCAATTGGCTTCAAATGTGTATATCAACGAGAAGAAGAAGGGAAGCAGGGAAGTCGGTGGCTAAGAATGAAAGAAAGAAACGTGATGGAAAAAATAATGAATAGATTTAGGTTATTGTTTATTTTTTCTTTCTGTTTTTCTTTTAAATAGTTTTAGTTAAAAGAAAAGATAAAAAAATTAAAAAGGTGAGAAGGTTATGAAATTTCCAACTATGCAAGTTTTAGAAACAATAAGGATCATGTTCGTAAAAAAATTAACAGAGATTAAAGTTACGACTTTTTGTAAACCAGACCTTTTGTAGATCAAATGGACTATTTATATAATTTTATTTAATTAAAAAAATTAAATACTATCATTCTATTATTTTATTTCCAGTTATCATTGGTGTAAAATTATGATAGGTAAATGTTCCTACCATTTTTTTTTGTACTAATCCACCTATTCATAGAAGATTGTAGTTTATGAACATGTGTGTCAAAAATGGTTTGAATTAATATTTATTTTACCAAATGGATTCTTATCGAACAGTATCCGGTGTTGTCTTCCCTCATTGAGGTCGATGGTTCAAGTACCAGTGTGAATATAGATGGAGTAATGTAAAAGTAGTTTAGTATATATATATTTGTATTTGATCGTTCCAAAAAAAATTGATATTCATTTTGATACATTATAATGGCGATTGAAGTTAACTTGTCATGAACTAATAATATATGGACCATGGTTAACTTTCTAAACTGATAAATGTTTTAAACTTTATTAAAAATGAAAGGCAGAAAAACCAACTAATAAACGTCTTATCCATTATCATATCCTATTGAAATTGTATCCATAAATTCACCCATCAAGAGGTCCCATTTAAAAAGAGTTTCACATCATATTTAATAAAAAAATCTTAATCATTCACAATATTTAATACCCAAAATCCGTATTATATTTTTTTAACTGCAAATATAAAATTATTCATAAATTTTATTTATGTTTATGATTTTATGTTTACGATGAGACTTAACCGTTAAAAAGGAAAGACAACATATACTAGATACTCTTATGTTAGAATTAACCGTTAAAAGAGGAAAGACAACATGTACTAGATACTCTTATGTTAGAATCACTTTGGTTGTATTAACTTATTTCATGAAAGTTTTTTTCTATATTTAAATATTTAACTTGTAATTATCGTTTTTTTATAACGATCAAAAAATTATATTAAAAACAAATAAAATGATAGAATAAACATTATAAAGAGGACAAAGTTAAAGTTAAATTTAGAACCAAACCAACTCATGCAATTTTTAGTTTCCCGCTCCTATTATGTATGCAAAAAAAAGTCTGAGTCTTTGGTTTAGTGGTTTACAATTATCACACATCTGAAACACAATTTATATTAAAACAATGCACAATGAAACATAAGGAGAATGAAGCATACATTTAACCACAAATAAATATTTTATACGTTTCCCTTTATCCACCTCATACAAATTCGGGAATGAACAACGAAACATACAGAAGATCTGAAAATCGACAAATTCGCATATAAGTAAAAAGAAATTAATGAAGAACCCTAAAGGTTCAACAAACCCAACCATTATAACCAGATTAAACCGCTTAGAGTACGCCTGGTGGTTTGGAAACAATGAAACTGATGCATTGCACTTGGCGAACATTGTCAAATCCGATAACACGGATGAAGGCGTTGGGGTACTCCTTCTTGCACTCTCCGATCTCCTTCATAACCTGAGCTGAGTCAGTACACCCAAACATAGGCAACTTCCACATTGTCCAGTAGCGCCCATCATAGTATCCGGGGGAGTGGTGGTGCTCACGGTAGACGAAACCGTGCTATATAAAGACAAGTATATATACCACCCAAAAACGTTAGGGTTACTCTACAATTGTAATTTTTGATTATTCAAATAATTAAAATTTCTGAAAATGAATGATGTAATTATTCCTAATTAAATCAAGGTTGGTGATAAATATTAAGTGGCATGCATGTACATGAGACTTGAGAAGTTGTTGCTAAAAGAGTAAATAAAAAAAAAAAAAAAACAAATTGGGTTTTTGCCGAGGGTATTGAGTTTAAAACTATATATAAATGTTATCCGTCATTGCCATTTTTACAAAAAAGTAATAATTGCTTGTTCATTAATACTTATCTATCATAGATGTCCAAAATTTAGTCAAAATTAGATAAAATCATCTCTTTATTAATCAAATACATAAATTTATATCATGAAACCAGTTAACTAAAAATTTGTACTTATTTACTAATATGTAAAAAAGATCAATTTCCTCCACATTAAAACTTTGGGTCAAATTTATATGTTTAAATTCCACAATTTTAGAATGTATCAATCATTTTATAATACTTTAATGCTTGCAATTTTTTTTTCATCTCAACAATTGAGGTTTTAACTTTTTTTTTTTTTTTTTTTTTTTTGTTAAATAAAGTGCGAAACAATGCAAACTTTAAAAATATGAACTAATAACAACCTAACAAAAAGTTTTTTTCATTTGCAAGATTATAAATATGCATTGAAACTATGCTACGAAAAATCAAGGTCATCAAATTTTTAGCATACTTTATGATAGATGAAAGTTACTTTTAAAATGAAGTCATTAAATTATAATAATTCAGAAAAAGATGAGAAATCGACCTCCAACTCAAATTCCAAGCAAGGAACCCATTTGTTGCGGAGAAGGTAGTCAACTTCCTTAGCCAAAGAAGCATCAGATAGAGGGGGCAAATATGAAAGAGTCTCGAACTTCTTGAGCCCTAGAGGTGGCCACACCTAAACACAAAATCATAACTTTTAAATTATTTTTTTATCTAGAACAAGATAATTATGTAAAAAAAATGTTCTTTTTTACTTTAAAATCGAACTATTTTGTATGTATATATGTATATATATGTGTATATACCTTCATGCATTGAACTCTTCCACCGTTGCTTGGAAGGGAGGAGAAGTCGTTAGCCTTCTTGGTGATAGGGAAGGCAGAGTTGGACTTGAGGCCGGTGAACGGAGCCACGGCTTGAGCGGGGGCAGCACGGCTGACAGTGGCTACTGCAGAGGAGATCGAGGCCATTTTAGTAATTTTACTTTAAGGCTACCCTTTTCAAATTCAGTGACTCAAAACAGTTTTCGTAGCTCTATTTATAATAGTTGTACATGAGCAATCCCTTTGCTACATGCCATCCAACGGATACAAACAAATGAGTCTAAACCTCTAGTGAGGGCAGCCATTAGATCATGTGGCTCATGTCATTTCTTACATAGTGTCCACAAAATTGAAGGATGTACTGCCTTATCATTAAACTAGCAGAAAAAAAAAAAAAAAAAAAAGGAGCGCCACGTGTCAGTTGCACATTGCTCAAAAAATATTATCTCATCTTTTCAAGGAGAGGCATGGACGGTGGGTGAGTGTAATAATGTTTCTTTTTCTCAAATTATTTCAAAAAATTGAACATCTTAAAATTGTTATCCATTTTCTCTATACATCAAACCAAGCGTAAGTGAGTTTCACTCGATATTGAACTCAATTTGAAATTTTGGTTTGCTATCATAGTTATATCCCTTTCTTTCTCATAAGGGGTAGGCTTTCAAAGTTGGTTATTAATTTTTTGAAATAATTATCATATAAACTATTTGTGATTGAATATCATATATGAGCGATTAGAAAGTTTTGTAATAGAAATTACATTGAAAACAAATTATACGTGTTTATAGTGCATTATATTAAGGTAAATGACACAAAAAACCAGGTTACATACTGACATGTTAGTTTTGATGACGTGACATGCTGACATTATATGTTGACGTGTCAAAAATGAATTTTTTTTCCACAAAAAACACTAAATTTTCACTTTTTTTTCGATTTTGACACTAAGTTAAATTTTTTATTTCAATTTTGGCACTATGTTTTTTTTTGTTCCAATCGAACATCATTTATCAAATTTTGTTCAATTTTGTCTATTTTCCATTTGAAACCGTATAAATATATTTTTTTATTACATTTTAAACCGTATAAATATATTTTTTTCGTTTAAAATCCACATTTTTATTTAAATACAAGGTGTTTTTTTTCTTACATTCAAAGCATTAGTTATATCATTAGAATCAAACTAACCATAAACTTCTAATAAGATGTAAAAATTTGATGGGTTGCAAACTTGATATCCGAGTTTTGATCCACTACACGCCTCCAAGCATCCAAACACATTTTAAAGTTGCATATTTAATATAAAATATAATTTTTATATAACTAATACATATTTATACATAAAAATATGGTTTGAGTGTGTGTGTGTGTGTGTGTGTATATATATATATATATATATATATATACACAAAACTATGGTTTTTAAATAAAAAAAAAAACATCTTTTTACGGTTTAAATGCATTAAAAAAATATTTATACGGTTTCAAATAGAAAATTGTCAACATTGAACAAAATTTGAAAAAATGATATTCGATTTGGAACAAAAAAACATAGTGTCAAAATTGAAAGAGAAAAATTAAACTTAGTGACAAAATCGAAAAAAAATGAAAACTAAGTGTCTTTTGTGAGAAAAAAATTCAATTTTAACACGTTAGCATATCATGTCAGCATACCACATCATCAAAACTGATACGTCATCATGCCACGTCAACATGTAAACTAGTTAATCCGGTCAAGTGGTCAGAATTGTAACAAATTGGAAAACATAGTGTCAAAACGGACACAAAAAACATAGTGTCAAAATCGAATTTCTGTGTAAAAAGAGTGTTTTTTGTGTCATTTACCCATTATATTAAGATGTTATTCAGTCAGTTTAATGGTTATCAATTTATTGTTAGGAAAACTAGAGTTTGTGGTGGAGATTTGGATACCAACTTGGATCGTGATATCACTTTCCGAACTGATATTTCTACCCTATGTCTGGGTTACAAGAAATTCAGCCTAGGATAATCAAAGTAGATACTTACGTTTCTAGGCACATAAAACGTAAGCCAATATGCTAGACGATTCTGTGAAAGTATGATGAAAAACGAGAGCTTAAGATAGTAACCCTCTTCTGAAGAGAAAGAACTGTTTATATATTAAACGAGATTAGGGTTTCATTAGGGTTGGGTCGTCATTAGTTTCTTTGGAAGCAAGTAATGTTAATCCGGATTTAATGAGGATTTAGGATTACTAAAACTAACGAGTTTTGTTAGTTTTATCATAATTACCCTCAAGAAATTGAATTTTTCACTATGTTCCCATATGTAAAATTTGGTGAGATTTTGGGGCCCCAGCCAGGGGCTCTGCCTCTTGGACCACGCTAGGGGCGCTGCCCCTTTGGAAACGCCGGACCCAGGAGCGTTGCCCCCGGACCTCCGAATAGTCATCGAACCGGCTTCTAATTTGATCTTATACATGCGTGCACTCCGCACAACCCCGTACATATATTAGAGTACAAATTATGAAACCATTTAGCTCACATGTTATTTCTAGTTACTTAAAATGACATGGTAACACTAAAATCACAAACATTTATTCGATTTAGTAAATTCTAAAAAATATTTTCCAAAATAAAACCGAAAAATATTTGGTTTGATTGGTTTTACGTTGAATTCGAACAACATATGTCGGTTTTTATTTTATTTGATAACATTTAATCTCTTAGATAAATTGGAACTAAACATTATTCTTATAAAGTAAATATATTGGAATAACCAGTGAGTTTCTCTCATTTGTGACCCGCAAGAGTTTTGGCCTCATTTTATATAGCAAATTACTTTTCTTTTTATTTTTTCATTTTATTTAGCTTTATGAATCACTTGTTATAACTATGTAATGACTATATTAATGTAGTTATTATGATACAATTTAAAATCCATTTCAGTTGCTACATATGTTTTATAAAAGAAAAATGTTCATTTTGAACATTTTTACCCTTGTGTCCCATATTTATAACTTATTTCAAATATCATGGATTCTTCTGATTACATATAAATATTGATGAAACCCTTTAAACTAGTGTTCGTTTCGACAGTTTTTGACAACTTTCTCATTCATATGTCGTATTTTGCCTAGTGGTGTTTGCTCGAGTTTTAGGATATCATTTTAGCAACTTTCTAGTCCCATGAAAATAATAAAAATATATTTTATAATGGTCTTTTATGTTCTTTCAGCAATTTCATTTCTTTTTAAAATTAAGTAAAATTCTATAATTATGAACCAAAACTTATCATATTTTGGCTAAAAATCATTTCTCTTATTTTAACAACTTGTTCTAAGATAATTCTATTTAATTTGTGAAAAATCAAAATTTTTTAAAAAGTCAAAAAAATTCAATCACTCCGTTTTCGACAACACAAAAATTTAGCTAGTAGCTAACTTTAAACAAACATAACTTATACATACATCTCCAAATAAGTTGAATTTTCTTGTTACACCTTCCTCTCATAACCCATTGAATTTATGGTTCAATAATGAACTAATTTTGATATTTATAACTCAAATTATGCATCTCTAAAGATAGCATCTAAATACTTTAAGTTTCCAGCATTACAAATTTCAACATTTCCAGCTTTGTGTAAAATTTTTCCTCAAATTTGTAAACTTATAAATTCTTCATAGGAATTCAGATTCGATTGATTATTTTCCCTATGTATTCTTTGTTTTATTGACTAAAAGACAGAAGAAATAATCAACTAATTTGCTTCATTTATAATAAAGTTACGTAGCCTCAAACATAGGTAGTTGGGGCATAATTTACTAAAATTATGCACTTATAAAATCAATCATTTTTATGCACTTATAAAACCAGTTTTGGCCTCATTTTTCATATATAAGTACTTTTCTTTTTATCTTTTCATTTTATTTAGCTATATACTTCACTTGTCATAACTATGTAATGGCTATATTAATGTAGTTATTCTGATACAATTTAAAATCCATTTCAGTAGCTACATATATTTTATACAAGAAAAATGTTCATTTTGAACGTTTTTACCCTTGTATCCCATATTTATAACTTATTTCAAATATCATGGATTCTTGTGATTACATATAAATATTGATGAAACCTTTTAAACTAGTGTTCGTTTCAACAATTTTTGACCATTTTCTTATTCATATGTCGTACTTTTCCTAAAGTTGTTTTCTCGAGTTTTAGGATATCATTTTAGAAACTTTCTGGTCCTGTGAAAGTAATAAAAATATATTTTATTTTGGTCTTTTATGTTGTTTTAGCAATTTCATTTCTTTTTAAAATCGAGTAAAATTCTATAATTCCGAACCAAAACTTGTCATATTTTGGCTAAAAACCATCTCTCTTATTTTAACAACTTGTTCTAAGATAATTCTATTTAATTTATGAAAAAATCAAAATTTTCAAAAAGTCAACAAAATTCAACCACTCAGTTTTTGACAACACAAAACTCAGCTAGTAGCCAACTTTAAACAGTTATAATGTATACATACATCTCCAAATAAGTTGAATCATCTTGTTACACCTTCCTCTCATAACCCATTGAATTTATGACTCAATAATGAACTGATTTTGATATTTATAACTCAAATTATTCATCTCTAAAGATAGCATCTAAATACTTTAAGTTTCCAGCATTACAAAACTTCAACATTTCCAGCTTTGTGTAAAAATTTTCCTCAACTTTGTGAACTTATCAATTCTTCATAGGAATGCAGATTCGATTGATTATTTTTCCTATGTGTTCTTTGTTTTATTGACTAAAAGATAGAAGAAATAATCAACTGATTTGCTTCATTTATAATAAAGTTATGTAGCCTCAAACATAGGCTGTTGGGCATAATTTACAAAAATTTTGTACTTATAAAGTCAACCATTTTTATGGTTCTTTCCATTACAATGATGGATTAGATGGTACTTGAACAATTACATGTTTTGTTAAACATAATGTTATTATTTACTAACTTCAAGATGTTGTCATTGTTCAAATTTCTATGACCTTATATGTAACATCCAGTTTAAGGATGTTTCTTATTTGGGATAGCATACCATAATTTGATTGAATAAAGGTTTTGGGCTTTAACGGAATAGATTTTAGAACCTATTGGATGATGATATTGGTGGTTACGTGATTTAAGCCATTGAACTATGTTTTGGAGACAAATGGTAGAATGGGAAAAGTAATATTGTAGGCTTCTTGCATGAATTAATGAATTTATTTCGGTATGTTTTTATTCAAAAGTAATTAGATTGGATTGTGGAGATTCTCAATACCTTCGCGTGCATATAAAGATCACTAAAAACGTAGTTAGAACGA